CTTCTTCTTACTCACTCATTTGTGTCCTTTTTTGTGGTGAGCTACAGTGTCATTGACACTTTCATTTTTTATTGAAGTTGGGCACAACTTTTTTTGACTTATACACGAGTAAATACGGTAGTTTAAGTAGCAAAAGGCAAAGAACACAACTTGGGTAGATGGTGTATATTGATTGAGACAGCAGTCGTAACATTGTATGGAAGGCACAAAAGACGGTGATCCACACTCTGGCACTGTGCCACCAAATACCACCCCAGCGTCGACAGAGCTGCCTCCCTTTTATCCATCGTGGGGATAACCACACAAGTATTCGCCACGTCAATATTGAGTGCAATCCTAGCTTGCTCAGAACCACTATGAAAACTGGTGTTTGCCAACACTTTCAAAGTTGCAAAAATTTGTTAAGAAAGTTTATCAATGTTTCTGTTCAGTGACAAAACAACCCCCAACTGCATTTTGAGCCGTCAGAAAAGAACACTAATGAATCGAGTACATGGAATGTGTGAATGATTCATGTGAATTCTTTGAGTGGGTGTAGTTCATACATTGTATGCGGCAAAAATGTGTAATATCCACGGGTTAAACAACAGCTTGGCTGAGAAAATAAAATTAGTCAGTATACACGGACATAGCTACCCGATTTTGCCAGGAAGGAGAGGGGAGTGGCAAATGCGACACAGAGTTTGTGTTCCGAGTAATTAAAACAGGCAATAAGGGGCCATTCGAGATCGGTAAATAAATGGGTTACAGAACTGGCATTGCAGTTTTGTGTGAGCCATTTTATGGTTTTCTGGTGCATAGATTCCAATCATAACCAATAAATTCAATGTATGGTATACGTGTGCTATCTAGACGAGGCATATTCTAGAACAGGTATATAACCATGGTTTTAAAGGCCAAGTAGCAGGTTTTAGTGTCAACAAATGAAAGATGGTTGCATAGCATGCCCAAGGAGCGAGTGGCCTCTTTACAAGTGTAATCGATGTGGGCATTTCAGCAAAAGTAGCTGCTTATGATAAGTAAGGTAATCTATAGTATATGGGAGTAAATGATAGGTAGCTACGATAACGTGAGTAGGTAAAGGTTAATGGTTATTTAGACAAAGTAATGCATAGAATTTTGTATTTGTCAGAAGGTCATGCTGCATGTTAAAGCGTGTATTGCGAGATTTTTCCAGTGTTTTCCCCATTTTCATGATACCTACCGTTATTGCTTGAGTAACAGCAATTGTCTAGAATAACGATAAAATGTCTTAGAACCTTCGTATTCACCAAATCCAATGAAATCATGCACGATTACAATTTTGCGTTCTGTTTCTGTTTACCGTTGCCATCTCTCGGATTTTCTCGCGGTAGCACGAGACATCTATCACGGTGCAGTAATCATCATCATCATCATCGTTGCTCATTAGAGGCTTAACCTCACGAGTCCGGGGAATCCGACCACCCGTAGTGGTCGCGAATCCACCGTTTGAATATCAAACGTTCTTGCATCATTCTAAGGAGTTGTCCTTTGTCCATTCTCAATATTTACAATGAATTCATACCGTCGCACCGTAGAAATCAGGTCAGAGTGTAAACACAGACGTTCATACTAGCGTAACAGCAGTGTAGTACTAATGCCACGTAAAGTCTGTTATTAGAGAAGCTTGTGGATTGCCAGTCAGATAGTAACACGGGAATGACAATGACAGAAAGTGCTCTGAATTATTGATATAAAAACTCAATAATATTTACCAAACAGAATTGCATGCCCTTTTGTTTTAATTATGTGCACTTGTTCAAAGACGCCATTTGTGATTTTGAGAGTCAGGATACGCACAAATTTATTGCTGGTATGAGGTGGTCAAATCAATTTTTCTATGCTATAACTGCATAAAATCTTGGTGTTTTGAATGTTGGTGTAATCAGTGATATTTTTGCTGTCAGGTGAGACTATATTCAGCTATATTTAGTTTTTCTGAGCAAAATTCTCTCAATACACGCTTTAACACCAATTATTCAACACGTTGTATAGCAATTTGACAGAAAGCCCAGTCCTTATGTAAGAAGTTAATCCTGCTTGGGTTATTAATGTCCTATACAATATGACTGCGTTTGAGAATCAAAAGGTTATGGTGAACCTTGCTGAAAGCTTTGCTAGAGTCTAGAAACATAATGTCGACAGTTTTAGATTCGTGACACCATAAAGCACATTTATTAACAAAGTAACAGTGGAGAAACCGTTATGGAAGCCATGTTGGTTGTGAGATCGAATTTGAAAGTCAATGACTCATTACAAAGAAATAGATGATATGTTCAAAAACCTCAGAGCATATTGGCTGATAGAGGTGAGGGAAAAGCCACCACTTTTTTGTGTATAATTTTATTGTTGCAATATTTAAGAACATAGCTGCATTATTACACATTTAATTCCCATTTTATATAGTATAACAGGGTAAATTCCAATTTTCACGTTGATGCAATAATTAGCATATCTACTAGCGGGTGAGAATATATTTTACTGCATATTTTTCTACCTATTTGAGAAATAATTATTTTTTAAGCAAAGAATGCCGATGGTGCTAATAGTACGAAGCTGTAATGGTGAGAATAATATTACTACTGTAAGCCAATAGAAATAACTTGTCCTTGCGTTTGGTATATACTGAATTGTTAGACTAATGTAAAAATGTGTTTTATTGCATTAGATTTGTCAGAGCAAGCCAGAGTGTGGGCGACAGAGTCTCATGGAGCTGCTGATTCGGCCTGTTCAGAGACTTCCGAGTATCATCTTGCTGCTCAACGGTACGGTACAAAACTCTACACACTTATTCTGATCGTAATTATGCAACTCTCCCATTTACGACAGTCGCGCGTGTGTGAAGTATACTCTTCCCACACGTATCCTTGTGTATCTACAACACTTATGAGCCGTGTATTTTACGTACGGCTCCCGTGTGTGCCCAGGAATATATTTCATTTCCGACTCGCCGTCCTCAACTTCGGTCGCCTGCATGGCCAATTGTTGCCATGTGTAGCGTGCATGCTACATGTGAAGTTGGCGGTTAGGTTATACGCACTTCTAAACAGCACAAGGTGTCAGTTGCGCTAGCTTTTGCCAACAGTGCAGAATATATAACCATTCTTACTTTAAAATATTTTTCCTGCCATATGGGGGATCTTCTCTTTATAGGCATGCATTGAATGTCAAATCCATTACAATTTTCTGAAAGCCGCACAATGCGCATCCAAACGCTAATTTCTCCAGTACTAGACTAGCAAATACTTCGTGTCATGCATAATCACACTACCTTATGACAAAATAAACTCTAGTTCCTCTCATTTCACTGCGCGTTTGCTTAAAACTCACAAGAAAAAGGCGAGAAAACTGGCATTCTGGCGCAAACGCCGACTGTTTGCCAAACAATTTAGCCTCGAAGAGGTGAGGTGACGTCACATGTTTTTATCTTTGCTACACCCATACCGCTGTACCGCTGCGCGGTTGCTTGGGGAAACTGTCAACAACATCGGAGAATTTTAACAACATTGGAGGTATTTTCAAATACCTTTTATAAGACTTATGCAGTGCAGACCTAAGACTGCGCAGTGAAATGGGAGGAACTAGAGTTTATTTTGTCATAAGGTAGTGTGATTATGCATGACACGAAGTATTTGCTAGTCTAAAACTGGAGAAATTAGCGTTTGGATGCGCATTGTGCGGCTAACAGTACCTTTCAGTGCTTCACCTGGCCAGAAGGTCTGCCAGGTGGTAATTTAGTTTTTGGTGTGTTTGCACGTTTTTGACCGCAGGTGATCGCCCAGCTAGGGGAGGCCGGGTGCACACTCCCGGAAAATGGTGCAATTTGGTGCATTCTACGCTATTTTTGTGCATTATAAACACTGTTCTATGGAAGAACTGATTTTCGTCAGCAATGTGGGTTTTGGACGAATTTCTGTGTGGCGGCTGAGAATTTGATTGAGGCGGCCCGCCTCGCTCGTGTCATTGCAGGGGAAACACTCTCTTTACTAACAATCACTGTCACCGCAAACATGTTCTTAATTATATACTGTCGGAACATTGGAACTTGTGCTTACATACGTCATTTTTAGCTCGCCTTGACATCGTCAAGATGAGCTATTGCCATGGGGTGTCGTCCGTCGTCCGTCGTACGTCCGTTCGTCAACATTTGGCTACGGTCAACGATAACTCAAGAACCGTTTGACCCACATGTTTCAAATTGCATATAGTTGTTACTCCTATGGGAGAGGTTTGAACGTCCTATTTTGGAGCACGCCAGTTGACCTACATTCGAGCCACGTCCACTTTTTGGCAAAAATGGAAATGGCCACAAGTCAGTTCAGGTTCAATGGGTTTTGCTCATTTCTGGTATGAATGGTGGTGAATGAATGAGGACTGGCCCCAAAACATATCACACAGGTTTTGATTTTTTTTTTTAATTATGCAAATTCGGTAGATTTTAGCAATTTAACTATGCATTTCAGTGTCTGCCTACGGTCAACGATAACTCAAGAACCGTTTGACCCACATGTTTCAAATTGCATACAGTTGTTACTCCTATGGGAGAGATTTGAACGTCCTATTTTGGAGCACGCCAGTCGACCTACTTTCGAGCCACGTCCACTTTTTGGCAAAAAATGAAAATGGCCATCTAGATTCATTCAATTTTGTTGAATTTTGGTATGTGAATGTGTAAGGCTAGCCCCAAAACAGTTGTTACTCCTATGGGAGAGATGACAACATCCTATTACGTTTATTTCGTCTAACTGGTCAACAACTCTACAATCATACCTATATACGTGTAATATTGTGTTTTAGATTTTTTGTTACAGTAATTTGACTGGAATATTTTATTGTTTTTATTTGCGCGATATTCGAAAACCAAAATGGCGATCATTTAGGCGTAGCCCCATCTCTCGTCAAGATTTCAGACTCAGATCTGAAACATTTATTTTCGCATCAAAACTTATGCATATATCATTATCAAGAGTATATAATGGGAGATATGCTATATAATGGGAGTTCTCCATATATACTCTTGCCTTATATATACCCCCTCCCTCTTCTATCACACCCAAGGTGAGCTACAGTGTCATTGACACTTTCATTAAGCTTGTAGCTTTTGGGTGCTTTATGACTCTATAATGTTGTGTGCGATAATCATGTCCTTCTTTTAGATTTGCTGAAACACACACCGAAGGTCAATTGCGATCACACGGCCCTCGATAAGGCAATAGAAGCCCTCAAGGAGGTGATGAGGTAACCAGTTTTTGTTCATTTCATCAACGGAAATAATCTTTAAACACTAATGGCTGTTACGCAATATGACAATATTATCGCTATAATCACATTATTATAGTATATGCTATCAAATTTATGGTATATACTGGCTGATATTGATGGTTAAATAACTCAACTGATTCACATTGCCACTAATCAGGGTTAGATATCAACTTCTTTGTGAGGCGCAGTACTCTGCTGTCAGAGGGAAAAAAACAGGCAACAAACTTTCTCACCAAGGCAGAAACTTGATGAAGACATTGCAATTCATCGAACCCCAACAGTACTGTCCTATTGCCTGATATGGAAGCTGGTTTTGCCCCCTAGCCCTGTTTTGTCCTGACTCGTTTATTCTAAGTATTAGCCACCTGTGCTTAATCCAGGTTGCACATCGAATGAAGGATGCATGGGTACCAGGGTTCTGCCCACGGTGGGCGGGTGTGCCCGGGACTCGCGGTTGCCGCCCGGCACTATATATCTCCGCCCAGCAATAATTTTTGATATTAAAAAAAGGGTTTTATTGCTCAGAATGCAGGAAATTGAGTTTCAGACTATCAAAAATCAAAATTTTTTAGGGGTGGCATGCCCCCGAACCCCCCTAGATTGGCTTCATGCCTACGGCGCTTGCATCTTGCGACTTAGTCCCGGCACTAAAAAATCCTGGGCAGAACCTTGGGTACGTAGGATCAATGTGATTTTCACACACAAAAAAACTGACCGACTGGCCATTGGGTGTCTGTAATTTGCTGCTGTAAATTTCCATTGTGTAATAATGAAAAGTGACCTCTACCCACCTTGCATGACCTCGGAGATCAGATTTAGCCCCACCTTCCCAATCAGGAGAGGAACATTTTTGTTCTCTATAAGTGTTGTAAGTCCGAATCTTGCTTTGTTTGGCCAGAAATTGAAATTTTGTCATTCTGCAACCTCCTATGACCTCCAGTGACCTCTGAGGTCAACAGTGCCTGTCTCACAAACTCCATACCAGTAATTTACCCATGTGGACCAATTTTCAGCATCCAGGGACCAACCGCTTGGTCGCCTATAGCCAAACACACGAACAATTGATGGAAATATTAGTATAGATCTATGCAAACAGATGTGTTCCAATTGATATCAAATTGCAATTTAGATGAATTATTGTGTCAGTATTAAAAATGTGTTAGCTTGCATTTTATGCCAATCAGTGGAACTGATACTGGAAAATGCATTATTATTGTCTTTTGTCCTATAAAGTCCTGGATATTGTGGGCGTGCTACGTGCCTACGTTTTACCAATGATAATAACAAGTTTATCATATTGAAGATATATGTATGAGATATCTACATGTTAGCCGTGGCCATGTTTACTGTATGAGACACAATAAAGCTAGCTTGAGCAACAGGTTATTCACTGATTCTTGATTGAAAGATAGAAGGGGCAAATAATGTATTTCTCTTAAATCTCGTGATCAGAGATTGCCACCAATTTCATACACCAGAGTTATTGATACCAATTGTCTGTTGAGCTACACTGATGTCCACATATTGTAAACCTTTATTTATTGCAGACACATTAATGAAGATAAGCGGAAGACTGAGGGCCAGGTTGTGATGTTTGACATTGTCAATGACATTGACAATTGCCCTGTAAGTATTTTCATGTATAAGCTTTCGACGTCAATTCGTACATATATACACAGGTACTGGCATATCTCCTTTACAATATAGTATTCACTTTTGTATGTAGCAAATAGCAAATTTCTTTAACAGGTTGTGGAAAAAACCAAACCATTGCACAATATGGTTGTTTATGTGAGCATGCATACAAAAACATAAATATAACATGTTCACTACTATGTTCATGTCGTCATCTAATACATATTTGTGGAAGTTTCTCTGTTCGTCTGTTCTCGATTCAAATCAATATCGGCCACTCTATATATGTCCAAGGGTGGCCATTACATGTAAGTTTGGATACATTAGAACATGGGCACATTGGATTTGACCTCTAAGGTCATCTGACATTGCAAAACGAAAAAATTATGAAAAAATCATGCCCCTGCAGCAGCGTTCAATCAACGCACCCCTGTAGCTAAAATTCGAGACTGTTCGCTGGCAGCAATTGATCCGTGCGCCGGCCTTTCGATTTGGCGCACGGATCAAAAGCTGCCAGCGCGTGATACTTTCGTAGGACGTTCCCGCGGTCGCGTGCGCCTTGCCGCGGAACTGCGCGCAAGATTCGCGCTTAGCGGGCAGGATCAACACCTCTCAGGCGACGCTTCTCTGGTATCTGGTCTCTCATCTGGCTATTACCCGTCCTTCAGATGGGTTCAAGTGGGGTCTGACTTGAGGATGGCGATTTAACCATTTATCTCTCACTTTTATTTGAGGATGTATTTACAGTAAACGAAAAATACTGATATTTAGACTCGAGTCATATACCAATATTTGTTTAAAAAAAAATTGTATCTAAATATAAATAAAATCTGAAATTTTACCTTAAAATGACATGCAATTTTTCAAAAAAAAAAGTAAATGGGGTGATTTCATAGTACAATTTCACTTATTTATATATTTTTGAAAATAGCATTCTGGTTAGAAGCATCAATAATAAGTCAAATTCTTTAAAAAAAGCAAAATGCATTGAGTAGTTTTAAAGATATATTTTCTTGAAAGTCAGTGGACGGCGGCGGGCAGGGTTACACCTCTCGTTGTAAAATATTTGCGCGTGCACGCGCGCACACACACATCACACACAGGCACGCACGCACGTACTCACCGCATTCACACACATACGGACATGCGCACGCACAATCACATGCGCACCCACGCACACACATACCACATTTACACACACACGGGCGCGCACACGCACAATCACACGTGCACCCACGCACACACATACCAATTTACACACACACATACACGCATACATACATACATACAGGCACACGCACACGCACACACACATACAACTGCAGCCGTCTCTCGTTGGGGTTTGTCTTAAATTTTCGCCTCACAGCTGTGCGCGGCAGTGATTGGCTGTTTATACACCGCAGCCGCAATATCTTTGGTGTGTGCGTGTGTGCGCGTGCCGGTGTGCGTGCGTGCGTGCGTTTAGTGTGGTTTGCTATGCTAAGTGAAGGCTCCACTTAATTAAATGCTTATTATTATACCTTTAATCTACATTTAGTATAGCTATATTATCATTAAAACCTGTGAGAAAACACATTAATAGTTTAACATAATTTCAAAAGGTTATGGTATATATAGTGTGGTGTGTGTGTGCTCTTAGACAATCGACACGGCGTCTAAAAATGTCAGAGCATTGGGAGCCGGGTAAACGCGGGCACGGTTACACCTCCCGTTGTCAATTGTTTGCACACACGCACAGCATGCGGATTTGGCGATCTTAAAATTTGGTGCGGGTTTCCGATGAATGCCGAAGTTTCTTCGGCACATAACTTTTGAGAAAATTGCCTCCAAGTCACTTTACGATCGAAAAATCGCGTTCTAACGTAACGGAATGTATTCGGGACGTCCAGAAGGGGCCCCAGCTCGATTTGCATGAACACCCGTGGCACGGTTTCGGAGGAGATACGGAAAACGACACTTCGGCTCTTTCTACTATTATATTATAGATAGATAGATAGATAGATCGATTTTGGTTTTTTTTTTCTTTCAACCAAGTGGTCACCAACTGAGCGCTTTATTTCCCGGGCAACGCCGGGTGTCCTGCTAGTCTATCATATTCTGTGATTTGCAGTACATTTCGTGAAGGAACTATGGCCAATACCATTTTTCGGTACACTTCGGCTGGATTTCGCACATGAATCTAATGCTAAATGTATAATATGTAAAATGTTTCCATAGCCAGTGCTACTTGGATTGGTTACTGCAGAACCAGATAATCTAGTGAGAAATGACTCTGAAAATGTGAGTAATAGCTAGTTGTATCCCCCGCGACAAAGTCGGCGGGTATACTATGGTTTCATGTCTGTCCAGCCACCGTTCGCCGCCGCCGCAGACACTTTCCCTTCCGCTCTATAACTCTACCCTTAATTGACCTTGCACGACAACTTGGTACACTATAATTACACATCTTGGGGAGAAGGTGTGTCGCGTACCGAAACCAGGTCACTGCGACCTTTATTTGACCTTGACCTTGACCTTGATTATATTTCCCTTCCCTTCTGCTCTATAACTCGGCCCCTACTTGACCTAGCGTGACCAAACTTGGTATACTTACACATCTTGGTGAGAAGGTGTGTCGCGTACCAAAACCAGGTCACTGCGACTTTTATTTGACCTAGAGAATTTCCTCTCTGCTCTATAACTCGGCCCCTAATTGACCTAGCGCGGCCAAACTTGGTATACTTACACATCTTGGAGAGAAGGTGTGTCGCGTACCAAAACCAGGGGCCCGTTGTCAGAAACAAATTAGTCTTAACATTAACTTTTTCTCTTAGAGCGTTGACAGAAACTTCGTAAAGTTAAAAGAATTAAAAATTCTCGTAACTTTTCTCTTAACTTAAGAGATCCTAGACCCTCCCTTAACTTTAATATTAAGTTGAAAATAACACATTTACACTACGAATTACAATTATAGTGATATTATATTTTATAATAATGAATAAAATGTGTGTTTTTCTTGAAAAACACGTCAAAATCATTAATTATCTACCGCTAATAAAACAAAACAATACATTTACAAATGGCGTATGACATTTGTTCTCATGTTTTAAAGGTTTGCAACGCTTGCCACGATTCTCGCGTCTCACGTTACAGTGTGAGAATTTGTCTTGTTGTGCAGAATAAATTCATGACCACGTAATTTTTCATCAAATATTATTTATATGTGGTTAGCCATCATAATATGCATAAATTACTGTGATGTACAATAAATGTGTATGAATTTGAATTTTGTGATCGATTCTCATCCAATCAGCAGCCTTGTGACATGAAATTATGAAGTTCCTGTTATCGTGAGTTTTCACTTAAGTAAGTTTAGTTACGATAGGTTTCTTTCAACGCTATTAACTTTTACGAAGTTTCTGACAACAGGCCCCAGGTCACTGCTACCTTTATTTGACCTTGACCTTGATCATATTTCTTTTCCGCTCTATAACTCGGCCCCTAATTTACCTAGCGTGACCAAACTTGGTATACTTACACATCTTAGGGAGAAGGTGTGTCGCGTACCAAAACCAGGTCACTGCGACTTTTATTTGATCTTGACCTTGATCATATTTTCCTTCCACTCTATAACTCGGCCCCTAATTGACCTAGGGCGGCCAAACTTGGTATACTTACACATCTTGGGGAGAAGGTGTGCCGCGTACCAAACCCAGGTCACTGCGACCTTTATTTGACTTTGACCTTGATCATATTTCCTTTCCGCTCTATAACTCGGCCCCTTATTGACCTCGCGTGAGCAAACTTGGTATACTTACACATCTTGGAGAGAAAGTGTGTCACGTACCAAAACCAGGAGATTTTTCATTCATACTAGATCGCGGGGGATACATGTGGTTGGCGACAACTGCCATTTCTAGTTATAATTATAATTTTCTCTCTGATTTGTGGAATATCGGTTGGTCGTTCACATCATTCTGGGAATAGGAGGCTAATGATATGTGCTACAATGAACACATGCTAATCATTCATCTAGTGATCAGTCTTAGATGCCCACTGGCATTAATGGTTGCATGAAGTTTGGATGAATTTTCTAGATAATATTAATTGAATACCTAAGTGACCTACTAAAGTGAAGGTGAGACGTCTAAATACATACTGTCAAACTCGTGATAGTGGACACCCATGAAGTGGACACGCATCTATAATGGATGCTTTTTGGATTTATCTAGAGTTATTCTCATATATACAGGTTTATCTGCTTATAGTATAGTAATACTAGTGGTTTTACATGAGATCATACTAAAGTTTATAGTAAGTGCTAAACGTATTTTATTGCTAGATACGTCTGTCTTAAGAACACAATTTGCATTTCTTTGTATCAAAGGAAGTTTCATAATAAAGACAAATTTGGATTAATTTTCATTATTAGAGTAAAAAGGCATGGCATCACTGCCAGGTTGTGCCATGTTCTGCCAGGTTGTGCCAGTATAAACTATGCGGTCATACGTTGTGGGTTCTAGAATTGGGTGGCAGTGTTTTGGTAAGAAGCAAGATATCCAAATTTCAATAATTTGACGAATATAAAGTTATTGCACGTTTTACATACCGTTTAATATGGTAATTTTCATATATCCTTGGGCCATAATAAAAATATTGTTTGTTTGCCCTCACACGACCGACCCGCTAAAAAGGGGACGACTCGAACATTTTTATTGATCTTTCCCATTTTTTTTTCAAAAATTGTATCACCGTACATTATTCATTCTTTTATTTTGCACTTTTCATTCATTTGTACAGATAATTTCAGATAGAAGTAAAAAAGGAGAGAAATAAATAATATTATAGAATCGATAGGTTCAAGGTGAATGTGCGTAGTGCTCAAAGTAGCAATAAGCTTTCGAGTTGACCACTACTACTTATATAAATCTGTAGGCAATACATTATATGTACCAAGCAAAACAAACATTCAACATAAAAGGTATCTCCATACAAACACACACAAGCATGTAGACACCATGCTGAATTTGTAAAAAGACCCCCCTCAAAAAAAAGCATACCTACCTACCCAAACTTTTCAGCCTGGGTCGGGTGAGGGCAAACCTTCTTCTTTTTTTAATTGTGGCCTCAGCTATATAAATATATATTCTGCATAGTTCATGATAAAAATTGCACAGTGGTGCTGCGAGGACAGATTCCAGCTCAACGTATCAGATTAGGAAACCACATGAATTGAACCTTGTTTCTATTACCCAGTTGCAACTTTAGATCATTATTTATTAAGCAACCAAGCTATTACTGTAACTTAAACGTTAAAGGAATGTGAACGTAGATAGGTTCGTATTGCTGGTGAGCACAATTGCACTGGCACGTATTTACTGTTATCATAATTCACAGATTAACATGAAAATGAAATAGCGTAGATGGTGGGTATGATCAAATTGCTAGAAAATCACGTGGAAAATTTGGCTCGATTTGAATGAGTGTGCCTAATGTTGGTGATATAGGATTACTACTATTGGTATTAATTATTACGTATTAGTACTGTCATTATTGGTGATTGTTGACAATGCTAGTGACTGTTTTGGTGGTGATATGTTTATTTTTGTGTTTTGGGAGATTTATAATTATTGGACAGAATTCTAATCTCAGACTGCACAATGAAAGAGTAATGCTATAGAAGGGCAAGAAGTCACTTAATGTACTATACTACTATTTAGGCGGATTTACTGTCCTCACATCGACAGTTTGTCACCAAGGCTGACATGGTGGAGTTGAATGACAGCGTCGGTCACCGTGGCGACAACCTAACCATGTTCCTCTTCAATGATAGGCTCGAGGTGAGTGTGCTTCTACAGAAAGTGAATGCGCTGTGTCAGGTATTGTTCTGGAGATCAGTACTGGCAGTTTACGTGTCAGCACAGGCTACTTGGATGCTAAATGCAACAGACTGATGCAAAAGTCCATGACAATCTATGTTGGCAATTGAATTTTTCTTTCCATTTTTCTGTGAATATTTGTGATCTCGTTGTAAGAATATAATTGTAATGGATCGTACCTGTCTTCAGCATTCATGCTCGGGATGCGCAGCAGCAGCACCGGTAAATGTGTTCCCTTTCTGCTCACCTTTGTATCACAATAATATATATATACATATATGTGTGTGTGTGAAAATAATTCATATGAACGCACATTGTCATTCACAAATACTACCCCTCAATTACACTTCCACTGTTGTGTCACTGTATATAAAGTTGCTTTCACAAAAACTAATGCAGAACTAGCCGCTCCCGCACTCGCCGCTTCGAGTGTGCTGTGTCGCCATTATAATGGTATATATAGAAGGTAGGAAACTCCGCCGCATGATTTTCGCCGATCCGCACGTAAGTGCAACAGTTCTTTGTAATGTGACTTCAAACTCAGAAGTTTCGCAGTTCTTTATTACCATTTTTTTGCTGTTTATGATTCCCAGTTTTTCCCCGCGGGCGACCGCCGCAGAGCGTGATTGGCTGCAGGCAGATCGCATCATCTCCAGTTGTCTCCAGTCTCCAATCGCGCTCCGCGGCGCCCAACGCGGGGTCATTCGGACTTGTGAACGGTATACATTCCTGCAGAAACGGCACGAACTGCAAAACTTTTGAGTTTGAAGTCACATTACGAAGAAAGGTTGTACTTCTTGGCCACGGTAGTTACATAGTTGTGTTCAGTGGACTATAGAGGGCAGAACGAGCCAAAAATCGAGGTCGTAGAGGCGTGACAAGTTTGAGAAATCTGAAAGAAGTGAGGAGCGTTCGGCGAAAATCGTGCAGCGGAGTTTCATACCTTCTTCTATATATACCATTATAATGGCGACACAGCACACTCGCAGCGGCAAGTGCGGGAGCGGCTAGTTTTGCATTAGTTTTTGTGAAAGCAAGTTGATATACAGACTATTATTTTCAGTTTTTACTGACTGTCCCAAGTGCCTGTCGATGTGGGGTATTGAATAATCCTGATCAATAGCAAAACAGTTAAAACTGATGTTAGACTGACTGGTAGTATGTATATGTACGAGAGTTATACAGAGAATAATTAACTGAATGAGTTTTTCTAACATTTAATTTATCTAATCTCAGCATAGGTTTAAACATTCGCCGAATCATTATTTGCATAATGTATTTATCCTCAATTTAAAATCATAAAAACCACCTTTCATTGTGAAATGATTGCGGCTGCATTGGTACCTCAACAGTTGTACGCAGTTGTATGGCTAGTAAGATACAGGATCTCATTTCATCAATTCTCAGATCTGTAAACGAAGGATGAAGGTGATAAATTCAATGAAGAGTCCAGTAGCTGCAGCCGCAGCTACCATCAGCAGCTTGCAAAAGTGCTACAAACACGTCGAACTGATCCACTTGTCGCACATTCGCAGGGTGGTGGATATTCAACAGACGGAAGGTAAGGATGGACCAAAAAGAGAAAAGTTGCATGGTTGTCCAAAGAATCATCTTTCAAATGTTTCGAAAATATGATAACCTAGTAAAATACAGTCTAACCTTCATGCTGATAGGCTACTTATTACAACAACCTGAAAATTCGTGTGGTTTTATGCTTTTCTGGGATATGAAATGGCAAAAAATGCAGCCACATTATTAATGCCTTAACGATTGCCTTGTAATTAGACCTCAGATGCAAGTGTATCTAATTCTGACAAAAGTGCACCTGGGACATGTGGCCCTAGATTGGTCCTGTGTCTCTATAACACAATAAAAGTTACTGTTAACAAAGTGTAGAACAGGGTCTTTTGAGAGACAAGTGACATCAACATGTAACCAATAACAAGAAATCAACAAAGACATGACAGTCGTTGATTATGTTGATGAAATATTACAAGTCAGTGTTATAAGACATGTTAGCCTTATTGTTAATACCTGCTGTAACGTAAACAATACTCGTAAGTAATTCAATTGTCAGAAAAATATGAAAAAGAGGTTCATTGAAATCCTTATGAATACACGAATAAATAAAGTGTTTTGATTAACGTTGCGATTTCGTCGGTCAGCTCAGCCAACAGCCAATGTCATAGGCCCAGGCAGACTGGGTTCATCCTATGCGAGCGGTAGGACTCACATCAGTCGTACTGTCATAATGAACGGACAACGATAGCATTAACCTGACCTGAATAACTAGCACAATATATTCTTAGTAGACAAAAGTAACATTAGGTCACATATATCATCAGCTAGAACACTCGGCTGACGTCACTCACGTTGATTGTATGGATCGTGTGCCCATGAGTATTTAGACTGTTTATACCTTGATAATTGAATAACGCATATGATATTTGTTTGGCCTTAGGTACAAACGCATTGTGTTAGAGGTAACAAAACTGTCGTAACAAAAAATTTGTAAGCATAGCACCCATCAGATATGACTCCAAAGATGTAGTACTGTTATCATGTTTCAGATTGCAGGAACGTGTTTGCACTGGTCATCAAATCAGCAGCAGACATGAAGGAAAGGCTGTTTGTGTTTACGTTGGTCAGTGAAGATGTCCCAAAGACAACTGTCCTGCGACTCATTTGTAGACACATGGCGAACACCGTTTGCAGAACAGACGCGGTAAGAGCTTAAAATGATACACTCAAGGTTTAATGCGAAATTATACCCATTTTTCATTAATAGTTTTATTTGAGAGCTGCAACCATATATGCCACCTCTGTATCTAGATATATTATGTATGATGTTTTCGATGCAGAATTTTATGTGGCACAGATTGTTGCTATGGGTGCGTTGATGGTATCAACATTCGCAGCGCCGCATATAATAAACGAATGAGATGATGAAGAACTTATTAGCATGATGTAGAAGTGGAAAAACTGGCATGTAATCAACCTGCTGCACAGTATAATTGCTGTAAATAACCAAAACTATTTGTGCAATATGTTGGCTTTGTACATGTTCATGTCAATAAAAACTAAAGTAAGTTAAAGGAACAGTAGCCTCTAGGTTCTAGGGTTATTTTCAGCTAATTTAGGTTATAATTGCGCTACATAAAAAGTTTCATGGTTCAATCACCATTAGAAACTAACGACTACAGTTTGATTACAACGACGGTGGCGCCGCTCAAAGCGCACGATCTGAGAAGTTGCGCAAAACCACTTTCCAGCCAAGGGCTACAGACCGAGGGTATTTCTTATTTATTCATTTAAAAGCAAAAGGATTGTAATATCTTATAAGACACGACATATAGTTTCAGGTTATAATATGGATGAAATTTGCCCAGAAATGAATATCGTTCCGGTTAATAGCATTTAGGTTATAAACTATAATTGCCTTTGGATTAGCCGCTCGGTCATTTACCTGCCAAAATAAAATGCAAATACGCAACTTTTTCAGGGTGCAGCATCGTCGCGGGTGTCATGGCGCCGTTCAACTTTCGTAGCGTTGATGTGTAATAATTAATTTAAGTATCTGGTGACACAATAGCATGTGGGTATAGACGATTTGTTATACAGTAAGTACAGTTGTATGCAGTTAAAAATCCTAGAGGCTACTGTCCCCTTTAAACCTAAATTCATTTCGTAGACAATAATCAGAAACAGGTATATCTTTCGATGAACGAGTTAGCGCAGAAATAGGGCATATGTTTTGCATGTGAGGTATATGTTTTCTTAACGTTCGTTTTCTTATGTTCTTGCGACCAAATAAAGCATTTTCTAACAACTGGCAGCTTGCTAGTTGTGGGGGAATTTTATTTAATGTAAGATTTATCCAAAACCGATCAATAAACAATGGAATTTGGATTAAATAAAGCTAAGTGTCGGCAATAATGAGATGCCAATGCATGTAAAAATTAATATTATACCATCCATTTACAGATGCCATTGACATTTTGAAATGAATGCTGTAGTTACATACAAGCTAAACGTCTGTGATTCAGGCGGTAGCAGGGGGGTCGGTGGGGGCGGTCGCCCCCCCCCAAAAAAACGCGGGCCAAAAAGAGAGAGAGAGAAGAGAAAAAAAGTAAGAGGAACGTAGAAGAAAAAGAGCATAAAAAGACTGTTAAAAGAGTTAATAAACGAAACAACAGATATCTCCTTTTTAATTATTGTAAAAATTATTATTGAAACCAGGAGTGACTGCCAAGAGCATATTAGTCCTCTCCAAAACGTACATGTGCTGTGCTGCGGTTGCAGGTAGAATTTACACACCAATATATCAAGCCTTCTTGCAGCAGATAGAAATTGTGTCTGTCTTGACGCAGAAGTGAGATTTACGGATTATTTAATTGAACACGAATGCTTGCCTTGAGGGCGGCAACGCATGCAAATGAACTTGTCTTTCAAGAAAATGTTCCAGACTCACAAATAGCCAAACAGTATGGTTGCAAACATACAAAAACACGTGAAATTGCTGAGAAATTTGCAAATTCTATACCTTTGTTTAATACATGTATTATTTACCACAGCGTAACGCTGATAGGACGTCTATGATCCCCCAGGGCTACTGACGCGGGAACGTACCCCTGGGACCTGCTACTAATATTACTAATCTAATAGTGGCCGAGGTACGGTCCCGGCGATATTAGACTATACTCCCGGACCGTACCTCGCCTACTCCACTACGAGTCTCTAGGGAAGCAGCTACGCCTACTCCTAAACCCGAACTCTTAACCTCAAACCCTAACCCCTAACGCCTAACCATATCAGCTAGATAGTTACGCAGGGTACGTTCCGTTGATACCGGACCGTGCCCAGGGTACGTTCCGGCAGTACCTGGGGGACATAGAACCCTTCAGCTATAGCTAACCTAACTGTGTACGCTCTCTGAAAAAGTAATGAAAAGTGTTTTGAATCCTAACTGTGTAGGGTTGAGTCTAAGGGTAGAGATGTAGTTGTCATCAGACATGAGAATATTGGCCCACAGTAGGCCCTCAGATTGGAGGAAAAGTGGCTTAAAAGGTTCAAAATTTTCTGGGGGCCATTGCCCCCAGCCCCCCCTCGCACTGCCCGATGGCCATACCGAGGCACAGCTGCCAACGTACGGTTGATCAAATTTGCATGTGCGTGCATGTATAAATGTATGTACGTGTGTTTGGGTGTGTAATTGTTGTGTGTGTGTGTGTGTGTGTGCGTGTGTGTGTTGTGGTATGTATGTTCGTGCGTGCGCGATCGCGCGCGTGTTGCGTAAATTATTGTGGGCTTGACGATCGTGCTAAGTATGATGATGGCTATCGCGCGATCATCCCCCCCCCCCACTTCTCGGTACGGATTTAATCGCCCTGATTCGCCACACTTCAGCCGTGCCTCATACATTGCCGCCCCCGCCCCCAAAATAAAATCCTGGCTACGCGCCTGCTTGATTAGGCATGAAAATTGTTTTCATTTGCCGTTAAACCTTCCTTATATTAAACACGCAAAATCCACGAAAATGAGTTTTATAGGTTACCTACAATTTACATTTTCTGGTACAATTTCAAAACAAAATCAGTTGGCTTTAATCGTCCTCCTCCTCCTCTTCCTCGTCTTCAAAGGCTTCGTGTTGGACAGACTCTAGTTTGTTCATTCACAACATGCAGCACTGCCCTGCAATTGCAAACATTGTACACGCCAGTCTACCAATGTTACAACCACAGCTCCTTGGACTTGTATGGTCTCTCCGAAGAACAAGAACACTTGATGAGCTTGAGTATGTAATCTGGTGTGGGGAGTCGTAACAGGGAGAGTGACAGGCTGTAGGGACCAGTGTGTGCACTGAGCAGGAAAAAGCTGTAAGCCTGCAGGGCCTATAGCTTCTAAAAAGCTGGCAGGCGCCGCCAGCCAAAGCTGTAGGCCGCCAATTTTGGCAGCAAATTAACAGTAATATAAAACAGCATATCATGTTTCTCCTTATGGTTTATTAGTCATTATCAATGTCCATAATCATAATCCTCGTTTTTCCTCTATCTCGGCGATGACTGTTTATTGTTTCGTTGACCGGGACTCAGAATTAAAGGGACAGTACCTCTAGGATTTTACTGGCATACAACTGTACTTACTTGTATAACAAAATCGTCTATATACCCACATGTATTTGTCACCAGATACTTAATATAATTATTTACACATCAAACGCTACAAATGTGAACTGGCGCCATGACACCGCGCGACCGGTGCTGCCACCCTGAAAAAGTTGCGTATTTGGCATTTTTACTTTTGCAGGTAAATGACGCAGGGCTAATCACAAAAGTGGCAATTATATTATACACTAAATGCCTTATTTAACCGAACGATATTCATTAGGGCAAATTAATGCCATATTATAACTAAAACTATATGTGCGTTATAAGGATATTACATCCTTTTGGCTTTTAAATGGAATAAATAAGAAATACCCTCGAGTCTGTAGCACGCTTAGATTGGAAAGTGGTTTTGCGCAACTTTCTCAGAATCGTGCGCTTTGAAGTGGCGGCCACCGTTGAATAAACTGTAGTCGTTGTTTTTAAAACCAGTTTAAAAAAAAATATTTCTAATGCCGTGTATTGAACCATTAAAACTTTTTATGTAGCCCGCAATTATAACCTAAATTACTGAAACTAACCCTAGAACCTAGAGGCTACTGTTCCTTTAAGGGAACGCCACATCGTTGTTATATCATGTGCTTCTTGAGTAACTACGCTTTTCCCTTTGACAGCGAGCAGAACAAGACTGGTAGCGGTACACATCGGGATCTTCTATGATGCGGTCTGGGTGCCAGAACATTTTGGAAAATTATAAGCTCTGAGATGCAATCTAGAGGCCATTTTCACGGGTAGCTCCAATAGCTTCAACTAGCCAACACTTTTTTGCGTGGAAAAAGAAACAATTATGTAAAATTTACCTACTTGTAAAATTTGATTGGGCCACTGGGATTCCGTCTGTGTTGAGTGTGTCCAAAGTAAATGTATTTTGTAGACAACAAGCCTCTTACGTGGGAAGCTTTTATTTAGCTACACCCTGTAATAAATGTATATCAGTTATTCCCAAACTTAAAAACAATATGACACGGTTAAACCTGAGTGGTGCGACGAACTGTACTGCTGTTTTGCGATGTACTAGTAAAGTAACTACCACACGACGTGCTTTGCAGCTACAGTGGCTTATGTGTGTTAAAAGCTTGAGACAATTATTAATTATTACTTTAATTCAACATGATATGTTACCTAAATCTTCTTAATATTCATTTTAAAACAGAGTATATACTGATCGTTTGTTAAACTACCAGTGATACTTATATGTTTACATCCAAACGCGTGAAAATGCGCTGGGGATGTTGAGAATTACTACTCCACACTTAGGCGCACTTGAACAGTGATCGTGCTGCACGACCAGTTGAAAGTAAATAAATCCCCTGGCCAACACAATTGTTGGTAACGGTTCACTACCACTGGCCAAAAGGTAAGCTCCACCCACTTCTTATCGATTTTTGATATGCCAACGCTGCTAACTAGGATTCAAAAACTCTGTGCTAACCTGTACGTCCAACATCCCAACGCAACGTTTCTTTGAATGCAACTAAAGTTGATTGCAGTGGGCAGTCAATAATATGCAGTGGGCGAAACGCATTGTTTACAATGTATGTCAGGTTTTATCACGGATTAGTTTTCAAACAAGAGCCGCAGAGCGTCTGGGCTCATCTGAGGTCTGTTGCTACGATTATAACGTAAAATTTCAGTCTTGTGCGTAGAACCACATTTGTTAGGCGCAGATATGCAGACACGCAGTTTGCGTACACATCATTGTTAGAACACACGCCACTATCGCAGATGGGAGGGTAGGGGGAGGCTGGGGAAGGGGCGGGGAAGGGGGAAAGGTGAGCGGTGGGGGAGGGGGTCTAATAGCCAAAAGCAGTCACTCCTTGTTAACAGTCAACGAACATCCCATGTTTAACGCCTCCTCTTGAGGGTCAAAAGGCGTTATCCGACACTTACTCTTGCATTCAGCGAGTAAGGGACAATCTATGGTCGCTTTCAATAAAGCCATAAAAAATGCTAGTCACCGGCTGAAACACAAAAAAGTTTTTCATCGCTGCGTCAGACCATGTACGCTCAGAAAATGTCTAAAATCTGCCTGCTGCCCATTGCACTTTGAACCTGTGCTCCAATTTCGACACAGTGGATGGCTTTTTTTCCTACCATGATGCCTATACACCGACTCATCCACGAGCCTAGGTCGAGCCGTTTAGATTTGTGCCGCAATTTCTGCATTTCCTCCCTATACTTAATTTAAGGAGTGAATTTGCCCCCTTCTTTTACACCTCTTGACCTTTGACCTTTTGACCCCCAGCTTTCGACAATCCAACTCGTTTTTCGCGCATTACGCCCCTCACGTCCCGAATATCGGTGACCGGTACATCGAGCGGGTTAGAATTTGTGCCCAACTGTTTTGAACGGGACGGAACGCGTGCGCACGGACGCACGGAACGCATCATAGCGATTCTACAAGGCTGCATTCTGGACTATGTCAGATGAGACCTAATAAATACCCCTGGAAGTAATATGCCATGAACAGATTTCTACAGGTACCAGTTCTCAGTGTTTCGAGTTTTGCGTGTGATCAAATAGCTGTAGGATCAGCGGGCCTGTTGTGTATCAAGGAAGCTGTAGCCAGCGCATCGAAGAACTGTCGCACAGCGGCCGACGGCCGACTGTAATTTCGACACTGGTAGGGACTTAGTTTCCTCATGCCCTTACCCAGCCATATTCCATGGATCAAGGTCTGGATGCTCTTGTAGGGCATGTCTCCAGATGCAGCACTGATACTGTGCTCTTTTGACATTTTCTTTGAATGCTTCATTGGTGGGTGACAGAGTGCACAGCTTCGGTGTACCTGTTGCTCCTTTTCTACTTGTCTTTTTGTTTCAAGCTTTAATTCTTGACTCAGTCATGGATGTTGCATCATGCAATGTTGTAGCATGCTGAGACAAAAGCTGTTGGACTGGAGCAACACATCATCAAGTCAGCAGTTTTGATTCCAAGGAGGCCTCAAGCTGCATTTCCTCCCTCCACGAGTTTTCAAACATCTTGCCCTTTCCGATCCCGTGGCACATGGAACAGTGTCGC